TAGTCAGAGGCCTTTTTAAAATTACTTCCGTATTCTTGATTCCATTCTAGACAGCTGAGTCGTGTTACTATTTAAACAGAGGCAGAAATTATCAAGTAGTTTTTAATATTGTAATTTTTAAGCAAATCAGCACTGTTTACAAAAGCAGCCTACAATGTACTAAGGCATGTATGTAATCACAGCTAGTGCAATCCAGTACCAGAATGGGCTATCAGTGGTTCTCTTTAGAGACTGCATGCTGCCTTAGCTATGTGACCACAAGGCTAACCCCTTTCTGAATCTGTCTTCTCATTTGTAAAATGAGAATAACATTTCCACTGTATACACCCCAAGGTTGCTGTGAAGAAAATACTTCACATATTTTAATCATTACATAAACATGAGATCATCGCTACTTTAGAAGATATCCATGCTTAAGATATGGGGTCACTAAATAACCTCCAAGGTACCTGAAAATTCTAAGATTCACTGATCCCAAGGACTACATTTACAACTGACCTACTGAGGTATATGAAGCTAAATGAGGAGAAGGATGCCTTATCCAAAACACCCATCTCTATTGCTAGAATCAGGGCTATAGCCAACCATTTTATCAGGCATATTTCAATATAATTGGCTTCCTTTGAAATCCTACATATTTTATTTTATTCATTTAAAAATGTTATTCTGAGGGGCAGTGAGGTGGCGCAGTGGATAGAGCACCAGCCCTGAAGTCAGAAGAACCTGAGTTCAAATATGACCTCAGACACTTGATACTTGGTAGCTGTGTGACCCTGGGCAAGTCACTTAACCCAGCTTGCCTCACCAAAAAGAAAAAAAAAAAACCCAAAGGTTGAGAATCTGCCTCTATGTATAACTGGGGAGAGGTATCTATTGAAAGTACTGATTTCTTTGTTTTGGCCCAGCCTATGATTTCATTGACATAGGAAGCTTCTAGTGAGAAAACCCCCTCTACCAAATCAGCCTGGCAGCACTAAAACTTATAGATTTAGGGAGCTGCCTGGTGACTTCCCCAGGGTCATAGACATAATGTGTCAGAGGCAGAACTTGAATCCAGGTCTTCTGGCTCTCTACTGACTGCTTCATTAAAGCACTAATTTCTAGAACAGACCAGCAACACACTCCAAGGGGTTGCCCATTAACTCCAAGTATTATTATGAAATTCCAAACATATACATACTCCTACATATACTATATAGATTTTTTTTTTTGCTCTGGGAAATTATCTTGCAATCAAACCTATTCTAATAAGGCATTTCAATTTCAAAAAAAAAAAAAAAATGAGTAATCAGTGGTTTAATCTGGAATATAGCCTAAAGAGACACAAAGGCAAAGCAGAAGCCCCAAATCTGTGCTATTTACAATTGTCAATATTAACTCAAAATCTAAGTTAACTCTACAAAACATGGGTTTTTTTTTAAACAGGAAACTCACTGTAATAAAATTTTATTATACTCTAAGAAATAACTTCAGAGAACCCTGAAAGACTTACATGAACTGTTATATAACAAAATGAGTAGAACCAGGAAGACAATTTCTAGAGTGACCATTATACCACAAAGGAAAACAACTTTGAAAAACTTAAAAACTATGATCAATGCAATGATCAATCATGAATCCAGAAAAGTGATGATAAATCACATTGTCTCTTGGCAGACAACAACGTACAAGTACAGAATAAAACATACACTTTCAGACACCACCAAAGTGTGGATAATTTGCTTACCTACTTGTGCTTCTCGCAAGTTACAAGAACTTAATGTGAGGAGGGGGAAGGGACAGGAAATAATAACAGTGATGCCAAAAACAAAAACTTTTTAGTAGGGGAGAGAGGGGGAGAAAAATTTAAAATTCAAAATCGTATGAAAGTGATAATTGAAAACTAAAAATAAATTAATAAAAATATTTTTAAAAAAAACTTTTTAGTAGAACTGTATCACATTAAAGGGTCCAAAGGGTAGTTCTACAAAAAAAAAAAAAGGAGAAAAACAGGTACTGAAGCCAAGTGATAGAAGACACTGATGTGGTGAGAAGCACTATGGTATCTTAGAAAAACACCTGGATTTACGGTTACAACACCTGAGTTTGAATTCCACCTCTGCCACTTACTACCTAGGCTGCTAGGTGGTGCAACAGGTTAAGAGTGCTGGGCCTGGAGTCAGGAAGACTAGAGTTCAAATGCATCTATTAGCTATGTCTGCTTCAGTTTCCCTAGCTCTTAAATGGGACAAAATAGCACTTACCTCCCAGGGGCTTTATGCACACAAGACAAAATATTTGTAAAGCTCTTTGCAAACCTTAAAGTAATATATAAATGCTATCATTTGGGCAAATCACATGGCCTCTCAGGGCCTCCGTTATTTATCTGTGAGGACTGAATGACTTCTGAGGTCCCTTAAAGCTCAAAATCTAAGACTATATCATGTGTAAGAACTATTAGCATCAGAAAAGGCAGTATAGTCTTATACAGGAATAAATAATGCCCGATCAGCATCGAAGATATTGAGCTAGAAGGCATCTTAAGAGACCATCTAATCCTAACCCATTCCAAATTTTCAGGTGAAGAAACTGAGGCCTAAGGATACATAAGTAATCAACGAGTAGTAGAACCGGTATTTGAACTTAGGTCCTCTTACTTTAATCCAGCAAACTTGCCACTATGGCCCCCTAAATGTTGGGTGAGCCACAACTTTTCTTAACTTTTAATTTCTTCATCCAAAAAAAGTAATAATAAAACTTCCCTACCTACCTCACCTAGTTATAATGAACAAAGCCATTCTTGTCTAGATCAAAGTTACATATTTCCAACTGAGATAATTTTAGAGGTTGAAGGAACTTTAGGCAGTCTAACTCCCTCATTTTTACAGATAAGGAAAGTAAGGCTCAGAGACATTGAGTCATCCAACATCTTTGACATAAATGTCGTCATCCAGAGGGGAAGGTGGAACAAAAGAAGGCTGATGATGTCCCTAAGTACAGGGCTTACCTCCATAGGAATGCTACAACTCACCAATGTTCAACCTAATTTTGTCTACTTGTGATAGAAGTATTCAAAGATGGCTAGTTTGCTTACCCTAGATTGGAATATGCAGTTCCCTGTCCTCAACATCCTATCTTCAGACATCCAGAACACCTCAGTAGTAAGTAGCCAAAGCTAGCACACACTGGTTACTATAATTCAGCTAAGCAAGGTATGTATAACAAATAACCTGAAGAGCAGCACATATCTCATGCCCTTCTTGTACAAAGGACTTTGTCTGCTAAATTGGTTTGCATACTATAAAAAAAATTCTGGGGGCAGATAGATGGCACAGTGGATAGAATACCGGCCCTGGAATCAGGAGGACCTGAGTTCAAATCCAGCCTGACACTTGACACTGGCTGTGTGACCCTAAGCAAGTCACTTAACCCCACTGCCCAGCCAAAAACAAAAACGCTGTGGCAGATTAAGTATATCTGTGTCCCTGTTCCTTGACATCTCAAATCAAAAACAGTCACATGGCTAATTAAGATGGCATCAGAACTAAGAATACAGGTCTACTTGCTGAGTCCAATGTTCTTTTCTACTCTATTAAATGCACTATGTGGTAGTAAAATAGAAATGTTTAAAGCGTTCCCCTACTGCAGATTTACAGGACTAATAGATTTGATTAAGAGGGAATACTGTGCAAAAAAAATGCACTTGAAAATTGCTTCAGGTCTACTATAATTCTAGGATAAGATGCTGGGTCCAGGTTTTTACAACAGATTTTTACTCAAATTGATGTTGAGCTCCTCACTTTAGCTGTTTCTGACAAGTATGTAAATTCCAACTGATTCAAGTTTGTCCATTATGCACAACTGCCAACCACATCCTCCCATAAGTTTACCAGAAGGTCCACCCAACCATATTCCCGGAGATTTTTCTCACTTTCTTCAATCATCAGTACTTAGCAATGCAGTACTAAGGCTGTCAACCTCTTACCCCTCACCCTCTTCAAATGACAAGCGCTTTTCTTTTTGATTTTACGCTTCTCTAAAAAATCTGTTACTCCTATTGTTCAAAGTTCCTCAATTGTTCTATCTCTAAGCCCATTCACACCTACTACGTGGGAGGGGGGCAAAAAAATCTCAGCCCTCATTTAAACCAAAAAAAGGTGACTAAGGGAACACCAACAATTACCAACCTATGTGCCTACTTTACATCTAAATAATGTATAAGACTCAAGGGCATACCTGATCACAAACCTGCTATCAATGGAGATCTGTACAGTGCTTTGCAGACTTTAAAGAACCACATAAATGCTATGATCTACAATTAACTAAAAACGTGGAAAACACAAGATCCCAATGTGCTTAGTTGTTCAATTGCAAATGTGTCAATGTGCATATATAAATTCAATAGAACATTATACTACCTTCAATGGAATAAAAGACTGTTTAAAGTATCCTGATGAAAAGACCAGGGTCAAGCATGAACTTTGAAATCGAAAGTTTTCCTGTTAGTCTTTACTCATTTCTATTTTCTTCTATTTGTGTAAAATTATTGGCTCCTATCACCTAATCAATAGCTTATTGGGTGTTAGGAAAACTAAAGTTTACATTCAATTGTTTCCAGAGCAACCATCTCATATACATCTGCTCTGATTCAAGCTGATTGTTTTAAAAAGATCCTGGACCATTTTCTAACTATAGTTTTTAAAAGATATTGCACTTTATGAGCGATTTAAAGTTTTTTTTTATTCTGAACTTATATAAGATAGAACACAAAGAGGATTTTAACAATAAATCTTTATTCCATGCCACGTTCTTTAAAGTCTGTAATAAATTCAACATGTTATACTTCCAAAGCTGTCATACTTGTTTTGCACTTCCTTCTGTTCTCATTTTAAAAAGATGTCTAAATGGTCCCTTTAAATCTTTTTCTTTTCTTTTGGAATCACTCTAACAAACCCACCCATTCCCCACAACACCCCTATCACAAATAAAAAGAGAAAAACAAAAAACAAAAGCAAATTCACCTGGCCATATCCAAAAAAGTTTCTTCCAGCACCTTGAATCCATCAAGGTACATAATATGATTCATCATAGTTCCTCTGGAGACATTTAGAGGCATTAGAGAACTGAAGTCCAAGAGAAGGTTACCAACAGGTAGGACAGGGATGCAGAAAGTCAATGGGGGAGTGCAAAATATTGTTCATCTGTTTAAAATTTCCCCAAGGCTAAGCCCCTAAACTAGAAAATAAAATTATTCTTCCATCTCCTTGCCCCCATCCATGGCAGGCCTGAAAAGCTAACCATGAATTTCAAACATCGTTTGAGTCCCAAACAGCAAACTTCCAAAGCTATTTTATGAACTGGGGGTTACCCTTAGTTACAAAAGCTCGTTCTTACAACAATTTAGTTCTATGCACAAGTCTGAACTACTAATTTACGGTAGAGATCAATCAAACTAAGAGAAAGAAGCAGATGAACTGTGGTGCCAAGGTTAACCACCACCCAAGCCAAGAAGCAGCTGTGCCCGCAAAGGAAGCGGACAACAAATTTAGGGAATCGAGTTTCCACCCGGAATATGAGCCCCGCCCCCCCAGGCCACACGCACAGGCTTCCTCTAGGCCTCGGGCAGCCAAGAAAATTCCTTGCACCTAAGAGGCAATACTTTAACTATTGCGTATCTCTGACATACTGTTTTCTATCCCCGTGGGTACGAGGGGGGGGGAAGGGGGAGGGGGAGGGAAAGGGGGAGGGGAAGTCTCTCGCTCGGGACTCCGAGCACCCGCAACCTTTCCTCAAGGGGAGTGTGCTGAAGACCCCAGCCCCAAGGTTCGGCCTGGGCTCCCGCCCTTCCCTTCTAGGGCCCCAGGAAGGAATCCAAGCCTGTAACCTGCCCCTGCCCTCCGGCCCCGACCCCAGCGCGGTCAAGCTAAGGTCAAAGACGAGCTTCCGGCTCCTCTCCGCCCCCCCACGGCCCAGAGCGGAGGAACAGGATGGCAGGAGGCCTAAAACTGAAGTCTCCTGTTCCAGGAGGTAGCGCCTACTCTCCACTCGACCACCGGCCTCCCGCCTACCGCACCGCGCCTCGCCCCCTCCCCTTCCTTACTGTGCGGAGCGCGCGCCACTTCCACTTCCGCCCGCCTCCCAGCGTCCAGTTCGGCTCCCCGGCTCCTCCTCCTCTCGCTCCTCCTCCCCCGCCCTCCCTCGCTGTGCCCGACTCCAACCGCGGGCACGCGTCGGCTTCCCCGGCCCAGCCAACAGCCCCGGAGCATGCAACCAAGGAGAAGGGAGGGGCGCCGAGGGGGGAGGAGTGTCCCTTCTAGGCCACGCCCCCTGCGAAGCGGGGCCGGGCTCCGATTGGCTGCGCTGAAGTCGCCCGAGCCGAGCCGAGGTTGCTGTCGGGCCGGAGGCGGGGAGCGGGCTCAGGCCAGCCTGCGAGGTTTCGCGTGCGGGTGTAAGGTGGAAGGTCTCGTTTCATCCTCCTTGCCTCGCTCAGCCGGCAGCATGTCTCAGGTACTAGGCATCCAGCCAGGCTGGAAAGCCGGGGATCGCCGAGGGGCGGGAGGAGGGAAGACGGGACCGGGGTAAAAGGGGCTGCCTGCGAGAGGGTAGAGTGTTGGCTGTCCACCCCAGCCCCCACAAGGGCTGAAATTGGTCCCGGGACTGCCGCCGCCTTTCTTCCCCAGCTTCCCCCGGCCGTCCTCCCCTCCTCTAACTGGGTTCTTTTAAGTTAGGGTTGTCCGTGGGCTGTCGCCTGTTTCCTCCCCAGTGGTCAGCCCGAGTTATTCGTACCCCCTGGGCAGTGAAGGGGCCCTGGGGAAGGGAGGAAGGAGAACCGTGAAACTGGCAGAGATCTTAAAAGAATCCAGTCCCATATTTTTGCCGATGAGGATACTGAGGACCAGAGAAGGGAATTGACTTGCACAGTCACACAGCAAGTTAAGCGTCCGAACTGGGACTCCTGGCTCCTGAAGCCAAACTTTCTTTCCATTGCCCCGGGGATCCTGGAGGGCTTAGAAGGAGCATAAGGGAGCTGGGACGAGGGAAGGTTGCAGAGGGGGTCCATACGCTGGTGTGGACAAGGAAGCATGCTGGGGAGCAGAGATCCAGGGCAGTGAGCCAAGGAGCAGGTTGTGCTGGCTGGAGTGGGGTAGGAAGGGTTTGGTTTTGTGTAAAGTAGAGGGAGTGATGCCTTTTGGGAGAAGGATGTCGAAAAGGAATGGCAGACAGCCCAGCAAGCCTGTCTCGAGAGAGGAGACGCCCAGGATTGGAGCCTCAGTTCACACTCTTCCTCCTTGCCCTGCAGAGCCCCCTGGGGCGGTAGGACAAAGTTCACATGTGTGTGTCTGAGTGCTTTGTCCCTTCCGGCCCTGGCCTAGGGAGGAGCTCTCCAACTGCCCTCTCTGGGTGCAGCAGATGGACATCTGCACCTTCATCGCACACTGTCCTCCTCTCAGCTGCCTCTCGTGCCTACATTCTTCCTCTTGAAACCTCAGCCCCACCCCCACTCCCCACCCTTACAAATCCAGCTCTCACTCTAGTATATTGACTATAATAGAACCTCTCCAGGCCAAGGCTGAAAAAGGCTGGATTGACAACTGTGTTCTCAGTGTATAAAGTGTTCCCCAGTTTGGGATCGAGAGCTAGAAGGGACCTTAAAAGATCACCTTATTCAACTCTTACAGATGGGGAAATTTTGTCCAAAGGATTTGACCAAGGTCATACATGGTGGTCAACAGCAAAACTGAGGTTAAAATTCAGTTTCTCTGACTGAATCCGGTGGTCTTTCCACTGCATCTTTTTTTTTCCTGAAAACTGTTGGCAGAGCTAGCATTTATATAAGGTTCTAAGGTTTGTTAAGCACCTTAGGGATATCTCATTTTATCCTGGAAAGTAGGGGCTATTATTTCCATTTTACCGAAGGGGAAATTGAATCAGACTGAGATTAAGCAAATTGTCCAGGGTCATTTCCCATTGGAACACAGGCCTTCTAGACTCTAAATTCATCTGGTGCCTGGGGCATTAGCCTTGAACCTTGAGTGACCAAAGGTAAGAGAGTTAATTTTCTCCTTCCTTTCTTCCTGCCAATTAGGCTGAATTTGACAAAGCTGCAGAAGAAGTCAAAAACCTGAAGTCCAAACCAGATGACCAGGAGATGTTGTTTATCTATAGCCACTACAAACAAGCCACAGTCGGAGATGTAAATACAGGTACTGGTGGATGTAATTGGATGGTTCTGCATTAATGGAAAGTTGGTTATTGATAAATAGGGTAATTTTGAATTAATAATGAGACAACTTAAACTGTGGAAATAGTCTTGTTCCTTTGAAAGTAATTGCTGTCCCTTATGTTCAGTGTAATACTTATTAAGAACTCATATTGTGGATTGGTTTTAAACTAAAAGAGGATGAAGGGACTTTATGAAGTAATCATCACATTTCTATGGCATTATACTTACAGACTGTACAGTTCTCCAAAAACCTAACTCAGTGTCTCCATGGCAAAAGTAGCATAAAAATGATAAAGCTAGAAAAGAACAAAGCCAGGGAAGTCACTGGTGGGAGCATTTGACCACTAATAAGAAAATCCATCTTGATAGCCAACAGGAGCTCCCCTCTCTTTTTGTCTTGGGGATAGGATTAGAGATTTAGATTTGGAAGATTTATCTAGTTTCATGAGGAAACTGAGCAAATAACAGAATCAGGATTTGGAGCCACATTTGTCTCAAAATCCTTCATTCTTTCTACATTACTATCCCCTGAGGGTGAAACTGGAGCAAAAGAAGCAGAGAGCCCAGATTATCCCTCTTGTGAAACTTACATTTAGATTCTTCAGAGAGTTTCGTAATGGAGAGTTCCCAGAGTAGGAAAGAAAAAGGGGAGCGCTACAGAACAAATATTTCTGATATCTCTCACTACCTTTATCATCTTCTTTCCTTGACTCCCAGCAGTGCTCTGATTTGTCCTTTCGTGCTTTTGCAGAAGATGATGTGTGACAAGGAAGGATTAGAAGGCAGAACTTGGTATTAAAGATTCTATTCCAAGAAATGTTTGCAAAATATCAGAATGTTCTGTGGACTTGTATCTTGGCTAGTGAAACCTTAGAGTTTGTTGGCTTTGCAGCGTGGACTCGCCATTGTTGAGAGACCTTGATTTGCTCCTGAGTCCCTCAGAGTCCTTCATTGACCAGTGGGTGCTATTTCAACAAAGTTGCATTCTGAAGCAAGAAAGCTTAGTGATACAGTTTTGGCAGTCAGGACAATTTAGGGGAGGATCTTTCTAGAACAGTGGCACCTGAGCACCAATAATTTCCTCTTCCTTATAGAGAAACTACTTCTTGTAGATCTTATTTGGGTGTCTGTTGTATGCCCAGCACTGTGCAAGGCACTAGGGAAAGAAGACAAGAAGAAAAAGGTATAATCACTACTTTTAAAAAGAACCTTATAGTCCAGTTGGAGATTTAGACACAAAATAAGATGTTCTGCAAAGAACACTAGACCTGAATTCAGAAGACCTAGATTCATGTTCCAGCACAGTTACTTCCTAGCTCTGTAACCTCAGACAAGTCACTTACTCTGAGCCTCAGTTTCTTCACTCTTTAAAATGTGGATATTTGCACACCTGAGGATCAAATAAGGTAATGTACAAATGAAGTAAACTAGAATGTCCCTTCTCGCTTTAGGTAGCATGGTAAAGTAGAAAGGGCACTGGATTTGGAGTGAAGGGGACAGGGGTTCAAATCCCTTGGGCTTTGCTTAATTTTTCTGGGTCTCAGCTTGTTAGTATTTTTTTTTTTTTTTGACTCATTAATCTGTAAAAGGAGGGTGTTGGATTGGATGACTTCTGAGGTCCTCTCTTGCTAAAAATGTGTGAATTTTGACAAAGCAGAATCTAATCAAGTGTGGTGTTGCATGGTCCAGACAATAAGCATTTAATTTTGAGCCAGGGTAGCCTGGGATAGTTTTATGCATGAAGTATTAGGTGGACTTGACCCTCCAGAGTTGCCCCAGGAGTGGCCGAAGTGCCTTTCCATGGAGAATTCCTTTCCAGAAAAGCACCTCCATGGAGCCCCAAATGCTTTAAAAAATGGTTAAGGAATGCTGGGACAGTGCTCTGACTCGATGACATAACACACAACTCGTCTTTTGGTGTTAGAATAGCAATCCCCATCTGGACAAATCTCTTCTCATTAGCTGTGCTGGAGGGTTATGGTTCCACATCAGCTTGTAATTGCCCACTCTTGGCTCCTTTCAAAATCTGGGCTGTGCTGGGAGGTACAGCATTTGGTTGTCCCCTTCTCTTGGCATGTGCACTGTCTATTGAGCCAGGATCCCTTTGATTTGGTTTGACAGCGGAATGGAAACTTAAAAACTTTGAATTTCCTATATGTACAGTCTACTAGCGTGAAATCAAGATTTACTTCAAAGAAACCTTGGGATTAATATTTTGTAACAATCTTTCCCCCATTTTGTCAGGTTTGTAAGGGAGGAAATCTACTTCAGAGCCTTAAGATTCAGGTGGACTTAAAGCAACAGTTTCCTTTTATCAGGAAAGTTGCTGAAAACCTTAGCTCAATTCAGTAAGCACTTACTGTAGTGTGTATGTAGTGTGTGCCTTTTGGATCATAATCCTTCCTCAGGTAACTAACTTACCTTTTTTTTTTTCCCACCTTCATTTAAGATCGCCCTGGTATGTTGGACTTCAAAGGCAAGGCTAAGTGGGATGCCTGGAACTCTTTGAAAGGTAGTCATCTATGTTTTAATTAATTAGATCTTGCATAGTTCAGTCCTGAAAGGGAGTTTTCATTAGGCAATATAGATCAACACTTAATAAGAGCATTGGCAAAGAAAATAAACTGTGGACTTGTGCCTGAAGTGTTCAAGGAATAAATAGTCACTAACTTCCTGTGATAACTTTTCCCCCTTGTGGTAGAGAGGAGGTGGCTACGCCACTAGAAGTATGTTGATAATATCAAAGCTGATGCTATCCATTTGTAGATATTTCTTCCCCAGGGTAAAAAAGTGAGCTTTCAACTGAACCCAATGGGGATGCACTCATCATTCTCTTGTAACCACCTCTGCTACCACCAGTGACAAGACTGCTAGTGGGTGCTAGAAACCTACCTGGCATCATCGACAAGGAAGTGTCCCAGCCCCTGTTTAATCATATGACTACTAGAAACCTGGGAAAGGGACTGCTGATTTGGCACTGAGGTGCCTGCTGGCCTGTGTTCCTGTTCACTCATTCCAGAATGCTGCCTCTGTCATCATACAAATGAGAAGCCTTTGGGCTCAAGAAAGGACTGTAACAAACCTCTAGAATTTTCAAGTAACTGAAAAATAAAGAATAGTCTTCTCCATTATTATTTAACTAATTGTTACTCAGAGGTCCTGCTTCCCTTCATGACCAGTGTGCTGTACCCCCCACCTTCTGAACAGAATAGTCCCCTTCTTCACTTGCATAACCCTTGACCACATAGTATTCTTACTGTTGGAGCAGGAAGACAAAGATCTGCCTTGTCCCTCTCAAAGAACTGGCTGCTCTTGCCTGAGGGCTTGAACAAGAGCCAGCATCATTAGCTACTAGTTTGGTCTCTCCACTCCCAACTAAGTGACTCTGGGAGGGGCAAATCCTGAAAGGGTTGCATGCCCAGCAGGCCAGACTCAGCTGTGGGAACTTCGGGGGTGGGGGTGGGGTGGGGGTTAGTCCCTGTGACTCACTTACGTTAGATTTTATTGACTGTGAGTGAACCTTATCTTCCAGCAAGTTTGAAGACACACTTAATCAGTAATGCCAGTATAGCATTGCTCGAAATACAAACAGCCATAATAACATGGGGGCAAAATGCAGATAAGTTGTCTCAGGTTTTTTTTTTTCTTCAGTACCTGACAAAATCTCTGTGGTGATTTACAGGAAAATCCAAAGAAGATTCCATGAAAGCTTATATTGCAAAAGTGGAAGAACTAAAAGGAAAATATGGAATATAAAAGAACCTGGATTCAGACATCAGCCATGCACTCGAAAGCCAAATTAAAATAATGCTTTGATTTCCTAATCCTGTGATCAAAGTCAAGCCTGTGTAAATAATGTGCAGCAGTAAAAGTTGGCATGGCTACTCTAGGCCCATCACGTTGTATAGCTGTTGAATTGGAGATCGAAGCAGTTACTAATCTTGGCTCAGTAGCTTTCTTTAATCTGTAAATCAATAAAGTGCATTTGTTACTTTAAGCCTTGTGGGTGGCCCATAAGTTAAGGGAATTTTACCACCTATCCTACACACTTCAGCTTATGCCATTCTTTATTAGGGACTGAGGAAGAAATCAAGCTCATTTGTTCAGCAAACATTTGAGCATTTAATACATGCAAGGATCTCTGCCAGTGCCTGCCTTTTGAGGTTTATTAACATCTAATAGGAGAGATAAAAATATATTAATAAAAGGCAATATGTGAGAAATCTCCTAATAATTAGGACTTACATAGCACTTGAAGGTTTGTAGAGGACTTTCTAACTATCATCTCATTTGATCTTCACAACAACCCTGCAAGATGTTATTTTCCAGGTGAGAAAACTGAGGCAGACAGAGGTTAAGTGCTCGGGGTAACACAGCTAGGAAGTGTCTGAGGGAGGATTTGAACTCAGGTCTTCCTAACTCCAAGTCCAACACACTTTAATCCACTGAGGTACAAACAGATTATGAGAGAGATGATTAGAGAGGAGCAATTATGTTCAGTTAGAGGAGCATAGAAGATCACTCAGAAACAGTTTTGAGCACTTCCTGTATACCAGGTGCTGGTCTAAGCACCAAGGCAGCAAAGACAAAAGAGAAATGGCCCCTACCCTCGAGGACTATAATGGAGGAAACTATGTATATGCAATATATATGCATATATAGTAAGTATAGACAACTTGTAGCAAGAAAGAATGATTAGTTGATTCATGTAGAAAGTGACATTTGAGTTGACTCTTAAAGGAAGCCAGAGATTGCAAAAGTTAGAGGTGAGGAGAGAGTGCATTCCAGGCAAGCTAGTGCCTGGAGGTGGAGCGTTCTGTGTGAAGAACAGTAACTGGGCTGGTATGGTTTTATCTAAGTACTCCAGGAAGAAAAATGTGTGAGAAGACTGGAAAAGTGGGAAGAGCTTTCAATGCCAAATGGAGAAGTTAATGTTTGGTCTTAGAGACCATAGGAAGCCACTGGAGTTTATCAAGTAAGGGGATAACATTAAGATCGGTGTTTTAGGAGAATAGCTAGAGGATGGGTGGGAGAACCTTGAGATGCTACTGTAATAGTCCAAAAATAGAGTGGTGACTATGTGAGAGATGGGGAGGGGGGAGATCAGGGAGATTTGTCAGCTAACTGCATATGTGAAAAAAAGTGAAGATCATACCAAGACTGGGTAACTAGAAGGATAAAACTAGAAGGAAACTAGAAACGAGTTATAGTTTCAGTGTTTGGAGTCTGAGATGCCTCTGGAATATCCAGGTGGATATGTCCAGTAGACAATTTGTGACATAGGACTGCTCAAGAGAGATACAATCTGGGAGTCATCTGAATAGAGAATGTAATTTGATCACCTGAGGTCACCCAAGTGAGTATAGAGAGGAGGACCCAGTACACCCTCAGAGAGGGACATAGATGATGAATGACCAAATGAGACTAAGGAGGAGCAGTTAGAAGGAAGGGATTAAGTGCTTTTAGAAGCAGGAAAGAGCAATGTCAGGAAAACAGAAGAAAGTATCAGGCAGGAGGTGCTGGGTCTACAGTGTCAAATGCAGAAAAGTCTGGATGAGGATCAAGAAGAGGTCATTAGATTTTTGGTAAAAGTAACCAAGTTAAAAGGTCACAGAAGTGAGGCAGCTAGGTGGTGCAGTGGATAGAGCACCGGCCCTAGAGTCAGGAGGACCTGAGTTCAAATCCAGCCTTAGACACATAACACTTAACTAGCTGTGTGACCCTGGGCAAGTCACTTAACCCCCATTGCCCCACCCCCCAAAAAAAGTCACCAGATTTGGGGAAGCATTGAGTAGTTGACTTTTCAAGGATTTTGGCTAAAAAAAGGGAGGGATGTAAAACAACTCAGATGGTGAGATCTGGGGAAGTTTATTTTAAGGACAGGGGAGACTTGGAATTGTTTGTAGGCAGCAGGGAGTATTGAAGTTTGCAGAAAGGGGAGACAACTGGGGGTGGGGAAATCCATTAGAATAGGTAAGGGAGCATATATAGGCAGTTGGCCTTGGTGAGAAGGAGGGTTCTCTTTTCATTAGAAATGAATAAAAAAAAAAAGGACGGCTGGGGCTACATAAAAGATTGTGAGGTCAAAAGGATAAGATGTCTGATGGAGCCGAGAGGGAGCAAATAGGCTTGATTTTTTTCATAACATGAGGCCAGGTCCTCAATTTGGGGAAGGGAGCACCATTGAAGTCTTGAATGGAGAAAAGTTTCTAAACAGGCTCTGTGGGAAGTTGGATAGGGAATCAAATTGGGAAGAATCAAAGGACTTCCCTACAGTGAGGACCCATCCTAGTTTAGATGACAAATTTGCAATGTACCCGAGAAGCATGGCTTCCAGATCTACCCTTTGTTCACCAGTGCAGAAGTAGGAGCAGAAGAGGTAGATGGTGGGGGTGATCCAGAGTTAAGATTTGGTAAGACACGAGTGTCTTCAGACCAGGAAACAAGGAAATCGAGAGCAGAGGATAAACTGTTGTTGGAGTCCAAATCAGGAAGAGAAGACTGTAGCCAGAGCAAAGTTGATGCCCTGGCAGAATAAAGAGGGGGAAAGATTGTAGGTCATAGCTGAGCATAAAAGTTTGGGAGGACTAAGGAATAGGAAGAGATGATAATAGTAGTTTTTATTATGGAAGTAGAGTGTCTGCAGAGTGATGGGAAGATGAGGGTTGTGACCATCCCCTGGGGAGCTGAGATAGAGTGGAGGTGTTTGGAGCAACCTCAATAGGAATGTTTAAATCCCTTAGCAGGAGGGCAGGAGTTTTTGGTGGGAGCACTGAATACATTGAAAAGGGAGAGGGAATGATCTGGAGCTTAGTAGGTAACAAAACAGCCAACCAGGATCCTGATTGAGTGATGAATCCAAAGAGGGTAAACCTCAAAGGAGGCGTCTAGTCTAGAAGACAGTGTTTGTGGTAGGCACTGAGAAAGCAGCATAGCATTCAACTAGAGGTCAGGAAACTGTGCTCCTTGTCTTGATTTTTCCACTAACTCCTTTGGCCTCTCATTAAATGAAAAATGTTGAGTTAGTTCATCTCTTCTGGATCTAAGATTCCAGAGATTGAATTTTGCGGTGAGATTATAAGTTCCTCAAGACCAGAGATTTTATTTTATACTTGCGGTATAGGCAGTGTGTTACAATGAAGACAGAGCTGGCTCCAAAAGCCGGAAAGACCTGAGTTCAAATCCCACCACTGACATACTGGTTGTTTGACCATGGTCAAGTAACTTAATCTCAGTGCCCCAGGCAGCTGTTTTTTGTTTTTTGGTTTGTTTTTTTTTAAGGCAATTGGAGTTAAGTGACTTGCCCAGGGTCACACAGCTAGTAAGTGTCAAGTGTTTGGTCTGAGGCCGGATTTGAACTCAGGTCCTCCTGACTTCAGGGCCGGTGCTCTATCCACTGTGCCACCTAGCTGCCCCTCCAGGCAGCTGTTTTAAGATTTCAAGTAGAAAAGGTAACCACCTACATTGATAGAGGGAGTTTCACCCAAGCATTCTTTCTACCAATACAATCCAGGTCCAGGCTCTACCCTAACCTTGATCTCTCCCACACTTAGCACAGTGTTTGTAGGTGCTTTATGACCTCCATTCTCCCAACTTGAAATCTTGGGAGTCTTCCTTGATGATCCCTCCCCCTCAGCCCCACTTGGGTCTCTGCAAATAAGTTTCAGTCAATTAAATCCACAGTCTTTGCCTGTTATATGCAGATCTGCTAGAAACAACATTTGAGTTAGTCATTAACGGGTAGGTATGTCCATTGAGCAGGCAGAAAAGGAGGAAGGTGTTGCAGGAATAGTGCAAGAGGGGCAGTTAGGTGGCATAGTTAAATACAAGGGAATATGGAAGGGAAGGCAACTGCAGTTTAGAGGATCAGGAAGGGCCTTATGTAGGAGAAGGTCAAATCATCAAAAAGGAGAAAATATCCTTTTATTGAAAAAACTAGAAGTCCCCTCTGTGCCACGTGTGCAACATTGAACAAGTCACTTTTTAGAGTCATAGATTTAAATATCACAAAAGAATAGAGCAAATTTGGCAAGGATCTTTAAGGTCAGGTCTAGGGGTGGGGAAACTGCGGCCTCGAGGCCATTTGTGGCCCTCTAGGTCCTCAAGTGCAGCCGTTTGATGAATCCAGACTTCACACAACAAATCCTTTTAAGGGGATTTATTCTGTGATGTTTGGATTCAAAGGGCCACACTTGAGGACCCTGAGGGCCACATGTGGCCTCAAGGCCACAGCTTCCCAATACCAGTCAAGGCCATCCCCCTCATAATCCAGATGAGGAAAATTACCTTCTCTGGTTCATTTGTTCCTTTAATTGCAAGATCTAACCCAAATCTCTTAAACAATTTCTTTAAATATAAGTTTAAGAATATTGCTCCTTTCTGTCCCCTCTCATCTCTATCCCTCATAAATATAAGGTGGGCAAGCCCTTCTAAGGGGAGAAGGTAGGAGGAAACAAAAGAAGAGATAAGGATTAGACTGCTATGAGATGAAGAATATGAAAGGGAGTCAGAGATGGGTGGAGGTGGAAGGGAGGCCCAGGTGAGGTTTATGAAGATTATGGGAACTGATCAGGTTGAGATCTGTTCTGGCCCGTATGTTAGAAAGGTTATAGTGATGTTGAAGACACCAAGGGTGATGGCAAAATTTGAAGTAGTCTTAGCTACTGTAAGTCAGGTGCTAAAGTAACTTGAAGACAAGGGTAAGTAGATCATGGGATCATAGAACGATGATGAAAAGAGGGCTCAGGGGCCTTCTAGTCCAATTTCTTCATTTTATAGGTGAAGCAACCAAGGTTTAAGGTTGGCTAAGTGATTTGTCCAAGGTCAAATGAGGTCTGTGAGTCAGGGGTCATCAATGAAGAAACAGCCAACAATGGAAAGGGTGTTGTGTGAGGGGGGCAGGGAGGAGGAGACAAGCATAAACTGTGTAAGAGCAAACAACAAGTATGAAGGAGACTAACAATTAGAACTCCAGACTAGAAAAAGACTAAGAGAAAA